TTGTAAGTCCACATGATATGGTGAAAGATGTCCTAATTTTAGACTAAAGCATGCCAGAATTTTATTGTGAACTTGATTGTTCCTTTCCTTTCTTGTTTAAAGCTAAAGTGGACTATTTTCTAGAGTCCTCAACAAATGTTTACAATTTAGGATCAATGTGCTTTCTGAAGGCATACTAGTGCAGCTAACAGCCCAGTGACTTCTTTGGCAACAGTTTCCATGGCATGATTTTCATCGGTAAATGTACAAGCTGGTAGAAAAAGAAATCATTAGGTGCTCTCTGAGCGCTGCTGAGACATGGCGCTAGAACAGGTCAGTCAGTGCATTTAGCAGATTGTGGCATTTTAAATTACCTGTACGCTACTGGAAGCAATCTGTGGACCTAATTAACATCTCACCTAATTAACGTCAGCATTGTATGTAAGGAATTCCAGACGGTTTTGCAGTGCATTCATTTATAAAATACTATATTATTCAAATCTGCTACCTTTAATTTCTGTGTTGAAAACTTCATGTTGGTGTGCTGTTTTCTTAAGTGAGAGTAACTTCTCTTTTTTTCCTTTCTCTCTCAAGTAATCAATGCACTGCTGAATGAGTTCATTTTAATGCACTCAATCATGCCTCTAATGTTTGTAGCTTACGGGCGCAAGCATCAGTAATGCAGGAATGTTATATGGCTTTAGTTTGGGCCATTTCATAAAATATTCATGGAATCAAAAATGTGCATCAAAATAGCGGCTGGGAGAATTACATTTATGTGCCTGCTTTTATGGCAGCTTCACATTTAAACCCATTTGTGTTAATATCTAGTCAATCTTTCTACTCAAAAAAAAAAAAAAAAAAAAAAAAAATCCCAACATGCAAAGTAGTAGTCAACCTTTTGGCTGAAATTTGTCCAAAATATCTATTTTGACATAACAAATATATGCTTCTTGAGTGGGTATTAGAAAAGGGAATTGTAGAGGAAATTTTAGATAACATGAAAACATTTCCCTTCAGAATTTACAAAATTACATCGAGTTCTTTTGCTTGAATGAAGAGATCTATTTTTTTATTACTTCTAAGTAACTCAGCTCAGTCAAAACTGTAGCACAAATCTTTGTTCATACACCAATAGTTGTTGCATTATTTCCAAAATTTGATAGTGGCGGAGTAATGTCTTTTTTGCTCATATAATTGTTTAAAACTGATTCTTTACTAGCCATATTATAATGTGGCAAAATAAAATGATTAGACTATTGCTGATAGTTACTTTTTGTTACGCCCTAAGTTCCACTGAACTGTAACACTTTAGCAGCAATAGTAGATATGTTGTAGGAATTTCGTCTCTGATTTTTGATTCCTTTTACAAAAGAGGAAAAGTTATCAAAGATTTTTTTATATCCATTTAGTCTATAGTGTATGGCACTGGGAAGAAGAAATATGTAATTGCTGTTAATGTTGTTAACTGAAAATAGGCATGCTTCTTTTGTGTAACATTTGGTGAGTAGATTTTTCAACTATGATCATATTAGAAACACCTTCTAGATGTTCTCTTTGAAGTCTTAGAGATATAAATTATATACCTCTACAAACTATTTGAGATTATTTTCCTACTCCTTTTATTCTAATTTTGCTCTTTTTTTTCATTTAGCAACAAAAGCCATTTAAAACTCTGCCTTTCCACTAAAATATTCTTAAATAGTCAGCAATAGTCAGCAATGTTCTATAATTGTCTTACTCCGCCAGTTCTTTTCAAGATTTTTAAATAGCATCTACTTCTTCATGTTTCTAAAAATTACAGTAATTATGTGTTTAAAAATCAGAATTCACTGTTGAAAGCAATTCCAAGTGAACCAACTCATCAGAGTGAATAAACCCACTATCCTCCTGAAGACAGTATTTTCCCACAAGCCTTTGAAGTTCACATAAACATTATGGATTAAAGAAATAGTCTGATATGTCATTTTCCAGTAAGTAGGAGGGATTTCAGGTAATTTTGATGGAGGAATGCATTTCAAAATCTAAAATGTTTTACCTTCCATAAATCTGAGAAATCTGTGTACTGTGTACTGCTTGAAAGAGTCTTCAGTTAGGAATTTTCCAGCCATGTAAGGACTTTCAGGCTCCTTCTCTCTCTTGCTTAGGGAGTTTTGGCAGCTATTTTTAAAATTATTTGTGTTGTGGTTTTGTTTTGTTTTGTTTTTCCCTCGGCATCTTCTTTTTGGTGTTTCTGTAACCAAATTGAGTTATCTTTTTCCTTTACAGGCTTTCTGGTTAGTTCAATGAAACCAAATGTGTTTTACTATTGTTCCATTTGCATACTACCATGAAAGAAAATACTGCTTTTTTGAAGCTTGACGTAGATGGATTGTTCTCTAAAGAGGTTTCGCTGAGATCTGGCAAAAAGAATGCCAGGTCAAAGCTCTTGTGGTTAGGTCAACTCTTAAGAACTGTGGGATATATGGAATATATGAGTCCAATTTCCAGTCTGACAGAAACTTTCTCAAGGGGATGCTGCAAGTGGGGGAGCATGGGCAGAAATTAACGTATCTGATAGTTCTCATAATCTAAACAATAGTTCTGAGGGATGCCCAAGGAATGTGAGTGTAGTTAACAAGAATGTTGCATCCCTCCAAGAGATTATATTTAAGAGTCTTACAAGGAAGTTACTGTGTTCAGTTTCAGATTACAGGCCGAGGTGTTTTCTCTTCACCGTGAGTTTTCTGCTTCCCATTCCTATTAGAAGTTTTTGTGTTATAAGTGAATCAAACTCTTTTATTCTAGAGAATCCATTACACATGTAGTGAAACTGGAGCACAAATGTATGGCAATATCCTTTAAAAAGGACAATCCATTTGTATGTAGACTTGGAAGAGTTCCAGTGAGGACTCTGTTTTGTGAGTATCCAAGTGGATAAAATGCCAGATCTAGCTATTAAAATTAAACCTAAGTCCATCTTTCCATTCTTTGTTAAAACAACACTAGCTTTTACGATTAGTATCTAAAATCTGTGTTTAGCAACTTGGATAATTCCAATTCTATTGATTTCTGAGTTTTATTTGCCTTAAGAAGTTAGCTGTATAGACAGAAACCCAAACAAAATTTGGAAATCTCTTTACAATGAAGGTTTTGATTTGGGTTTAGTAAGTCTACATGTCTATTTCCTGCTACATTTACTATCGTTGAATCCTTTAAGTTTTTGATGATGATAATTTCACTTTGCATTTCTGTTTTTACAGTCTTATGTCAAGCATGTGTTATTTTGTTAAGAATGTGTACGTGTTTTCCTGTCTGCTTAGGAGGTCTTCTAGCTACTGTGGCAATAAAAGACTCTTAACCACGTTTTGGGCCATCTCTCCAATACCTGTCCTCAGCAATGGTGGAATCAAATAATGCCTGCTGTAGGATGTCCTCCTTTCCATCTGCATTTCAGTCTTTAGTGTTTTTCTTGTGTCCTCTGGGACTCTTACATGGTTGTAGGTTGCAGTCTTAAAATGATTTTTCTGTGACAGTTATGTAAGTTGAATTAAAATTGCTTTTTTGAACGTCAACTTTCTTGTGCTTGTCAATCTTAGTTGAGTTCATTTCAATCAACAGAAAAGCTTAATATGAAAATAAGTTTAATTTTATTAAAGCTAAAGGTTACGTTTTATATTACAGAGTCGAAAGCATGGTTATAAAAGGGTAACATATGCAAAGACAAACCTAAATTAAGCTTAATAAGAGGAATCTATCATAACTGTTCTACTGCCTTTGGTTGGCTGTGGGTCCAGGAAGTTAGCTTCTGTTTTGCCTTACAGTGCTTAAAGCAGGCCATTCTCTAACCTTCTCTCTCTTCCTTCCTTTCCAATAGAAAATAACTCTCTCCTTCCTTCCTTCTTTCTTAATTCTTCCTAGTTCTTTTAGTAATCTGAATGCAACACTTTAAAAAGTCTGTAAAACTGTAATCATTTCTTAGAGATCACATTCCAGAAGAGATGTAAAGTGCAAACACTTGTAACTTCATCATTTGTTACAGCTTTTAATACAAATAATAATTGATGTGTTAATGATCTATAGGACAGAACTCCTCTATCACAAACAAACAAACTGGTTAAATAAAAGTCACCTTTGCGTTTCTACTTTGCTGTAGAATATTCTTTGCAAAAACAATGTACTGTGTACAGGATATGTTTCATATATTCTGAGCTTATCTGCTTCCTAGTAGTTTTTCCGTAACTCATTATGTAAATAGAAAATTTTTCAGTTCTTGCATGGGGCTTTGAATTTCTGTTGTCCAGAAAGCCTAGATGTACTACATGTAAAAAGCTAGCTGAAGCTAGGGGTTGAAGGAGGAACTACTTGTGTCTTCAAGTGAACTTTTCCCTGAAAGATTTTTGAGTAGCTTAGGTTTGAAGATCAGGCTCAATACTCAGTGTATTAGTGGTTCTTGCTCTTTCACTAATCTCACCACATCTACTCTCCAGAGCTGACCTAGTAAGAATTCTTGAATTCTTTCTTTCCATAATAATTATTTTCATCAATTCTTTTATTTGAGAAATACGTTGTTTTGTAGTTTTGATACATTTATTCTCCATTCTACTCTCCAAATATTTTGGCATTTTCATTAAGGAAAAAAAAATTAGATGAACATTTTAAACTGTGATTGTTTATCCATGCATGCCAGTTTGGTTGGTTGGTTGGTTGGTTGTTTTTTTTTTTTAATATAAGATCCATACAGGTAATTTTAATGAACCTTCAACAGATCATTTTCTAGAAAATTTTAACGTAGCATCTTTTAGATCATATGCCCCCAACACTGTGAATCCACAAAGAAAGCTAATTTAGAATGCGAAAAGTTAAAAATACAATATTTATGTTAATTTTTCCGATGATTTCTAAGTTAGATACTGAAAATTGTTTAAAAATCTGTGAATGGATTGAGACACAATTGGCTTTCTAGTAAGAAAATGACACACTAATAACTTATCAAAATGTTGTTGATTACACTGGTTGCAGTTATGAATGAAATGTTTCAGGTCACATCATGAAGGCTGCTGAGCATTATGAAGCATTTTACCAGCTAACAGAAGGTTCAACGTGGAAGGATGAGACAGGCCACACTTACAATTCACTGGCATGTGAGCACCTATGGAGAATTTATATATTACAAGCAGACAAGATGCTAGAAAACAAAGAACGACAGCAGGCCATCAAAACATTAATAAAAGCTATCAGAATGGCAAAAAATGGTACGTATAAAATAACATTTTCATGTACTTTTATTTGATGGGCATGCTATGATTTTCTGAAGAGTAAAGTGGAAATTGTGAAGAGTTAAACTGAGTGATTATTTCCTATGGAAGTCAAAGAAAATTGCTATTCGTACTTCCAGGTCTCACTAAAACAGGAAGGCCTTCTTGCTGACAACAAAGAATCTTTTAGATTTCTGAAAGCTTCATCTCCAAAAAAAAAAAAAAACACTCTAGTGAAAGTAATGGTATAAAACAGGAAACCCATAACCAGCAAGTGAGATTTTGGTTAGCAAGTCATTGTTGATTTGGCAATTTTTGAATGATATTGTCTGCTGGATGACTGTTTTACGTTTTACATACTTAACAATTGCAAAGAGCAGTTTTCTATCGTAAGTAAGTAAGATTTCATCTTTATGTCTTACTATGTATAAATACTTTGAAACCCGAAGGAAGAAAATTACAGAATTGCAGAACAGCTGAGGTTGAGACCTCTGGAGATCAAGTCCCATCCCTTTCACAGTCAGCTAGAGCAGGTTGCATAGGACAGCATCCAGTCAAGTTTTGACCAACTCTGCAGGTGGAGACACCATAAAAACCCCGAGTGTTCCATTGTTTGACCTCCCTCACAGTAGGAAAGTATTGTTGCGTTCAGATGGAATTACAATCTGTGCCAACTGCCCCTTGTCCTGTCACTGACAACCACTTAGAAGAGCCTTCTTTGTACACTTCCATCAGACTTCTGAACACATTAATGAGATCCTTTGCCTGAGCTCTCTCTTCCATCAGCTGAAATGTCCCAGATCTCTCAGCCTGGCCCACTGACAGTTCTCTCTTGATGTCCAAGTATGCAGGTCAATATAGTTTGTTTGTATTTTAGGATGCATTATATATTTTATTTTCTAGAGACAAAGAAAGGGTCCTTGTACGTTCTAATGTGAGAACAGAGTTCTATTAAACAATTCATGACGGAGAACATTTCAGAACATTAAGCTGATTGTTCTGCATTACTTACTTTAAGACATTTTCTCTGACTATGTTGAGCAGTCTTGTTGAACTTTGTTTAAACTCCTACCCTCTAATTTTAATCTGCTTCTGTTTAAATAGAAGCAGATCCTTTTTGGAAAAAAAGATAAATGACAAAGGTAAGGGAAAGGAAAAACTTACAGCAGTATATAAGCATCTACATGTTGTTTAATAACCTGCAAGGTTTGTCCCTGCTTATGTCATTTTGTTAAGACTATACTGGTAACTGTAGCTGTAATCCTTTCTGTAGGAGGTGATAAGAAGATGGAAGGAGAAGCTGCATATTGCTTAAGTTTAGTGTATCATTTTGCTGGAGAAGAGAAGACAGCATTATCAGTAAGTTTATTTTAACATTGCTTTAGCTTTCTCAGAGGCTTTCTCTTTATGTGCATATAAAGCAATTTTGCCTAGTTTTATTTAGGTTTTATTTGGTTATGATTTTTTTCCTTTTTTAAAAAAGCAAGCTATTTTTGAAATTTGTTTGATACAGTGTATTTGTGAGCAACAATTAAATTGTCAGTCCAACTGTTAAGTTTTTCAGAATATGTGGAAGAAATATGAATTGCTTTTGATGTGAAAAGCTATAGTGCTGGTATAATCTCTTCTGATGATGCATGAGTTCAGGCTCCACTTTTCATTTTTCCCTTGAGCCTCCCATATGTAATCATTCAGAGACAGTGCAAATTCTACATGTGACAAGTGGGTAAGGAGTGTTTCTCCACTTCTTCATAGGTCAGCAGGAAAAGAAAGATAAGCAACAGCTTGATTTGTCTGCCATCAGAGGGGTCACAGTCTTCAGTGACCCTCTAAAAATGTGGGGAAAACATATTTGTTTTGTCTATGATTATTGCTGTTACTCATTTGGAAAATTACTGTTTCTATTTTAGTTTCTTCCTTTATCTGTGGAATTACTCAGGATTTCATTAATGAGTAAATTGTATAGAAAGCATTCCTTGTGGTTTTGGTTGTGGTAGTTCATCTTTCTCAGAGAGGCCAATAGAGGTCGTGGAGTGAACTGATTATGAATTTCCCCGTTGCTTGCTTTGCTCCTGTGGTGTAGGGTGTGTTCTAGGTTTTTTTTTGAAATACACTTTTATGTGTTTTCAGTGATTCATGATACGATTTTTCCAAAAGGTTTGGACCATCTTTATGTAATTCTTCAATGCTGATTGGCTTTTCTTCTGTCTAAATCAAACTCATTCTGGAAAGTAGGATGTTTATGTTGTAGACAGTGAATTTCTAGTCAGAAGCCAAAAAGTCTGCTCTTACTCAGCTGTAGTCTGCTGCTGAACATGATAATGTTCAGTATAACAGATTAGGCTAGAGTTGTTTTGTGCTGAAGTTTCATCTGCATTGGTTTTTGACTAACAAGCATAAAGACATTTTTACCTGAACATTTTTTGTTGTTAAGTTTCTGAGAGTCAGAATAAGTTGTGTGGATGATGTTGAGCAGCAAGACAAATAAATCAGCTAAACAAAGCCCACATGTGCCTTTGATCTCTCCATCACAGTAAAAACTTATTAATGAACAAGACTATATAGTCTCTGTATTATAAAAAGGATCAAACTACCCTTGAAAACATCAAAAATATTAGATATTCTGGCATTGTTTCCTCAGGGTCCATTTTGCTTAAATTTTATAGTTACTTCTTTCCCTGTATTGCTCCCCCATGTCTTCTGCCAAAAAGTTACAAAAATCATTTGGAAGTTTCATTTCTTTTTGTTACATGCAGTATTGGTTTTGTTGTTGTTGTTGTTTGTTTTGGGTTTTGGGGTTTGTTTTTTGGGGTTTTTTGGTTTTTGTTTTTTTTTTGAGGAAGGTTCTGGTACCTTCAATTTTGTAATGTACTCCTATTAATTTAAAAATTAATTAAAATTTAACAGTTGTGCCTTTAATCTTACAAAAACACCTGACAGGTATGGAAAGCAGTATATGTTTTAATTAAAGGGAAATAAATTATCCGTAATACAAAACATAAATGGATAAGTTCTTTTAGAGCATGAGATGGTATTTTATCTTTAATGAAAATATTAATACTTTACAGAATAAGTAAAGATTCCTAAAATATTGACATCTCCAATGAGATTGCATAACAAACCTATGAAGAACTTTCATTCAGAAAATGTATTGTGCATTATGGGACTGAGAAAAAGTGGTAACATTTTAGTTCCTTTTGTCCTTAGTAATCGTCAGTACAGAGAGCAGTAAAATATCAGTGGTTGTCAGTGCTGTTGAATGCAAGTTGTCTCCACTCTCCAATTAGAAATCATTGCCTAAAATTTACCCTTCTGTTCTCAGTTTAATGGTCTCTGTATCCAAGGGGAGCTCAGATGCTTACAGAGATGAAATCATTGCATCCCATTCCCAGAGGACCACTGGTTATCATTACACATAACATGCAGACAATACTGCTAGGAGCCAGTTTGCCTCATGGTAATATGTAGTTCATCACCAGCTTCTGTAGCATGCTAAAGAGGTCTTGCCACACAGCTTGGGACTACTCGGGTGTAGACTCAGGGGTCTCAGCAGTTATTTTCCTGCTTTGCATCAGTTTTCATCTTCTTTATCCTTTTGTGCTCTGGTTCACCTCAGGCAGTCTCCTTCTAGGGGAATCTGAAAGGAGCAGCTGTTACAGATACCATTTCCTCCAATTGTTGCCACTTGGTTCCTTTTGCTGCTGAGCGTGCTACTCCCTCCCCCAACACACACACAGTAGCATGCATATAAACTTGTTTCTCTTTCATTCACATCTTCTAGAGTGGAGAAGCATATGTTCAAAATATTCATTATCTGATGCAGTAATTAAAGGTTGAAATGATTGAGCCGCAGCCTATTATATCAAAACTGTGCAGTCACTTTGTATTGAATGGACTGTATTTGTTGGAGAAGGATTTTTTGTTTGCTAGGCACTTGGTGAATAATCTAACATAATTTCATCTGGCGCATAATCTGTATGAATTGATTTAATTTTATTTGATACCTTTGATGGATTTCAGTGGACCTACTTAGGTGTAAAAACATAAAGATGTGCAAGTTTAAAAGCCTGAGAACTAATTATGTTAAGCGTCAGCATAGTAGGTTCATAATATTTTTCATTATCATCCAGATTATAACAAAGATTATTAGATTTCCCCCAAATATGACACAAAATATTAATAGTTCCTAATACACACATTTTATCTCAAGCATTATAGATTTTTTTTTCAGTGAAATTTCTCCATCTAGACTAATTTTGAAGTGAAAGTTGCTGCTTGTTTTTTCTTAAGACGTACATTACAAGCGGAATATTAACTGACACAATTGTATGTCATTCAAAATCTTACATAAGGCATTGTAATCTAATTCTCAACGTGGGATTTTTTAATATACTGGGCTTTTAAGAATACTTCAAATCTTGGACATCAGGGGGTTTTTCAATTAATTGCATCTCAGATTATCAGGAAAATTCCAGCTCCTACACCTTTCTGAGCGTTTGTTTCTTTCAAATGTTCCTTTATTTTGGATATCTGCACCTCAGTTATGTTACATATTTAAATAATAGGAGCAGTGTTCTTGAGCTGCAACTCATGCCAAAATAAATGTGGTAATTTATGACATAATGCCATGTGCATCAATTGTCAGAATTATGGTATACAAGCCACAGGCATAAAATTATCAAGAAAATTTATGAACTTATAAAGGCATCTTCACATTCAAAATGACCCTATTAAAGTAATCAGAGGTGATTTATGACCATAATGTTAATTTCTGAAAAAATCTGTATCTAAAAAACCTGAAAATTTTAAACTCATGCAAGTAGAGAAAATGTAAGTAAATGTACTTGGAAGGCAGATATGCTAAAATTAGTATACACAGTAAATTTTATCTGATTGTATCTATTATTCTTAATTATATAAATAATAGCCATATTTCTATATGAGTTTACAACTCAAGGAGGGTCCTAACTAGTAAGAGAGTTCAAAAAAGTAGACTACATTATACTCTTTTTTTCCCATGTGTTGTAGAAGATGATTTAGAAGAGTGAGCATAATTTCTCTGAGGTTTGCTTACTACCCTATTGCATTAGTAGGAGACTGAACTTCAAGGCACACTTCTGCAAGCAGTGTCTGGATAGAAATCCAAGTTGCTATTTAAGCTTTCACTGTTTTCACTGCAGAAACGCTTAAGTGGGGGCTCACAAAACACATCAAAAGATAGTATTGAATTGAAATGATTTCAAACTTCCTTTTTTTTTCATCAAGCCTTATTCATTTGTAATTGATATTTAGCCATTCTGATGGGGCATAACTTTCTCAGCATAGAAAATGGGGTCATGTACAAGTTTAAGAAATGCTAGAATAAGAACCTCAAAATTCCTAGAGGCTTCACTTTTATTGGAGCAGGTTTAAAATTTTTATTAAAACTGTGCTTGAATAGAAAATCTGTATTTTTCTTAGCTAAGGAATAGAAGATCAGACAAAAACCTGAGTCAATCTTGACTGTAAGCACTTCTGACTGATCTTGACTCTGACAACGGATTATATACTGAGAAAGGTTTTCTTATTGAAGGTCTGGGGCTAGTGAGCCAATTTTGCAACTAATTTAATTTATTTTTTCTGGGAGGTCCCACTGCTGCCACACATTGATGGGATGAACATCCCTGCCCTCGTGAGGCCACATTTAGAATACTGTGTCCAGTTCTGGGCTCCCTGGTTCAAAAAAGACAGGGATCTCCTAGAAGGAGACAACTAAGATGATAAAGGGCTGAATAACTCTGTTCAGCCTGGGAAAAAGACTGAGAGGGAATCTGATCAACGTTTATAAATATCTAAGGGAGGTGGAAGGCAAATGAATGAGGCCGTGCTCTTTTCAGTGGTGTGTAGCAATAGGACAAGGAGCAATGGGCTAAAACTTGAACATAGGAAGCTCTATACTAACATAAGGAAGAACTTCTTTATGGTAAGGGTGATGGAGCACTGGATCAGGCCGCCCAGAATCAGGCTACAGAGTCTCCTTCTATGGAGATATTCAAGACCTGTCTGGATGCCTACCTGTGCAACCTATTGCTGGGAGCCTGCTTTAGCCTGATCTCTTGAGGTCCCTTCCAACCCCTGCAATTATGTGATTTTCTGTGATTCTCTGACAAACACAATTCTATGGGAACAATTAGTACTGGTACTAAAAGTTACCCTGACAAAATACTTTGCCTCAAATGCTTATAGAAGTAAGAAATAACTGGATAATATCACTGGAACAGGCTGCCCAGGGAGGTTGTGGAGTCTCCTTCTCTGGAGATATTCAAGACCCGCCTGGATGCCTACTTGTGCGACCTGGTGTAGGGAACCTGCTTTGGCAG